TATCTTATGCTCTGACGAATCGAGTTCATTCACTGGAACGAGTTCTTCTGGTTGTTTTATCAAAAATATATCATCACCAATGCCAAGTTCATCACGAAGTTTATCATTATACTCGTTTAATAATTTGTATTTGTCTTGTTGGGGGTTGATGGTGTAAATATACACCTTATCATAGTTAAAGTTATTATTGAGTAAAAGATTTAATAACAAATTTGTTTTACCAGATCCAGTTCGCCCAACAATAAGATAATGACAGTCTGGAAGTTCATTGTTATGTTTATGCTTCACCAATCGCTCGGTGTCAAAGTTTATTATCTTCGCCATCGTATAATTTTATGTTATATTAAACCAACAATTTTGTGTAGAACGGTATGTATAATGAGCTACTATACAAAATTTGGAACATTAGCAGTAGATTTATTAACAGAAGGTTACCAGGGTGACTTATCCAAGTATGCGACTCTTGATAAGCTCAAAAATGAAATCAACAATTTGTTAAACGTTGCAAGTGTAGATCCAAATGAAGTTGTAGTTTTCCAGGACAAACAAGGACGATTAAAGACGAGTAATGTACAACTATCAGATGTACTAGTACGAAATCCTACTGCAGTTGCTAATAATATTGTTACTTTTAACAATCAAGGTAAGATAGAAGATTCGGGTAGGTCAGTTAACGATTATGTTAGAAAAGCAGGTGATTTATTTACGGGAAACATTGCTATGAACCAGAACAAGATCACATACCTTGGAAACCCAACTGAGGATAATGACGCTGCTACTAAGAAATATGTTGATGATCAGGAATCAAAGTACGTGTCGGCGCATGGCGGTATAATGCGTGCATTTCTCAACATGAACAATAATGGCATCAATAATCTTAGAACACCAGAATCTGATTTTGATGCTGTAACAAAGAAATATGTTGATGATATCAACAATGAAATCACCAAGTTCAAAACTGAATTTACTAATCACATCACCACGTTTTTAAATTTTCGCAGAAACATAAACAAAACCAATAACGAATTTTTTGGAAGTCCGCCATCTGTTGATATTACACTCGATAATATTAACACAAAACTCAACGATATTATTAGTGGAATTCCTAGTATTGTTGAGAAAACAAGTATGATTAAAATTCCTCACAAGCAGATTAAAAATATTGTCTATACTGTTGCTTCTGGAATGTCTACTTGGTCGCCGCAAAATAACACTCTCAAACATACTGCAGAGGTCACTGGTGTGTATAGATTGTCCGTGTTGAGCAGTGCAAAGTTTAATATATTTACATTATTTCCATGGCGTCACTCGACTGATAATTTCTCTGGAACTGTGTCTATTGTGTTAAACAAAGATGTTGAAGAAACTTTTATGCTAATAGCTGATGACAAAAAATTAACTGCTGCGTCATATTGGTATTGTCTGGAATTTGTGGCTGAAACACCTCAACTAGTTACTTAATCAAGCCTGAGATTATGTGAACAAATATTATAATGAAAAAAAGTATAGTTGATTTCAATCATATTTCAAAAGATATTCCAGGACAGGATGTTGACGCACTAATACAATACTACAAATATTATCATAAAAAACTTTGGTGCGTTAAAAAATGTTACAAATATTATAACAAAATACTTCGAGTAATATCATATCTACCCTTGTTAATGACTAGTTCTGGCATAATTTCAAGTGGTATATCATTAAACCCGTTTTTGTTAATCATATCCGGTGTTGGTGTTTCTCTTACAGCAGCTTGTAAAAAAGTTGAACCTAAAATTTTGATAAAAAAGCACGGCTGCTTAACATCAATTATAACTTACAAAAAACTACTTGATCAAATAAGATCTTACCTACGAGGAGTAAAATATAGTATGGACGATTTAATACGTGAATTTCGTATTATTGACAACATGTTAACAGATATTCTACCCATGAGGATCAGCAAATATGAGAAAGATTATCAAAAGAAGTATGAGTAACATAAAATTAAGATATAATACCACTTACCTTACTGGAATTCTAATGCGTAATTTAGTCCACAATCGCCACGTTCTGCTAAATCGTAATGATTTGGAAAATTGAGTCTGACATATCATTTTGCTTATTCTGGAAGATCACGTAATTAAATTTTACCTGTTACCTAGATATTTTGCAACAGGTGTTCTATTGTATTTGTTTGGAGGTCTAGAGGGGTTGTTGAGCTCGGATTCTTAGCGCAATTATTGATTGCAACAGGTGTTCTATTACGTTACCTAGGTATTTTGTATTTGTTGAGCTCGGATTCTTAACGCAATTATTGATTGCAATAGGTTTTCTATTACGTTACCTAGGTATTTTGTATTTGTTTGGAGGTCTGGAGGGGGTTGTTGAGCTCGGATTCTTACTTTCTCCTACTACTTCTATAGGGCGGTAGATGCACGGTATCACGTTGGCTATGAAAACCAACAAAGAGGCAAGGTGCACGGTTATGAGTGGCATCTCTTTTCGCTTTCGTAGGGCTTTACATTTAAAGGATCTCTTTCTATGGTGGTCGTAATAGTATTAGAGAAGTTCCCATGTCGTGTTTAATTAAGATGTCGCTTGATGAGGCATCGATGCGACTGCAAGGCACAGCATCGAACTCTAGTTTGTCACTGAACATGAACAACTCGCTTGCCTGTGGCCGTGTGAGATGATTTATCATGTTGTCTAGCACTGAGTTTCTCTTCGTCTTGGACCTCCTTCCATTTATACAGGCCAATGTCAACGTGTCCATACAGTAAAGTGAGGTGGCTCATCCTCATCCGCGTCGTGCTGCAAGCTTGTGGAATTCGTGCGTCCTCCATATAAGCTGTCTAGAGGGTACACCCGGTTGTAACCTTCCATGATGTGCTTAATAGTGGTATCGGTTTTCAAATGTCGAGTATGCTCGTGCTCCCCATTTCAGCCACTTGGCATCCTTTTTTTTCTACCTTCAGGAGCTGTTGGTGAGTTTTGTTGTCCAATTCTTCAATGGTGTGCTATAAGACTCATATAATGTCTCGTTGACGATAACATGTCAGGCATCCGCAAAAATTAGCATTAAATACAGGAGCAGACGATCTAGTGTCAGTTTATGATAATGTTCAAATTCTGTTTAAAAAAGAACGTTTCACTTTGCAATTTCAACTCCAACAGTTAAACTAAACGTCAGTAATCAACAGAGACTAAAAAAAACCACGATTTTCGTACGCAAATTACCGAGTAACAAACAAACATGGAGGTTAATAGCCTGCTGTAGTTGCGAAATATTGATTTAACTAAAATTACTTTTTTTTAAAAAAAGAAGAGACCAAAATCAGAATAAATTATAGCGTGAATAATCAAATCTCTGAAAACAATTTACAGTTTATCTGCTGCAGATTTTGAGTGATATGATCAAAATGAATAAGAGATGTTACTTTGAATGAATTATATATATATATATATATATATATATATATATATATATATATATATATATATATATATATATATATATATATATATATATATAATGTATTATATTAGTTTCGTCTCTTATTCCGCTTTCAGTCCTCAGGCTTATAAATTATTCGGATACAGATTCAAATGTAACATTTTATAAATATTAAAACTTTTTTAAAACTTGCATCACATACTAATCCAGAGGCAATATTATATATATATATATATATATATATATATATATATATATATATATATATATATATATATATATATATATATATATATATATATATATATATATATATATAGTAATGTTTCATGCAGACATAACAAAATATATTTTTTTTAAAAATGTTTCTCAATTTTAAAATGTATTCTTTCATACGTGTCTCGCACAATTAAAACATATTTTTGCAAACATGTAATCGTTATTTAATGTTGTTTAAATTATGTAGACTCAAATATACATTTTCTTAATGGGATATATTTGTTTCGTTGTGGCGCCATATATCTTTCCACAAGCATTTGATTTCATATCAGTAAAATGATTCCTTATTCTCCATAATTTTAATTGCTAGTCAGTTGTTGTATACCCATTAATCTAAAGTTGTTGAATGTTCCGTTATTTCTTTTTATTTTTTTTTTAATTGAACTTTAATCGCATAACACGAAAAACCTAGGTATGGTGATGGTAAAGATAGAAGTTTTAAACACAGCAATACATTGAAAAGCAATTGTGGCTAAATCTGTACTTTAGCACCTAGAACCTTCGACTTAACAGACGGAAATCCATAAAATTATAAAAAAAAATTGTGAAATTATCCAGTCTTAAACATGACAAAATAATACCCCACCCTCAATTATCTCAATGAAATCTGTGTGTCACGTGCATTGCGATATCGCTTATCTTTACTTCAGATTTACTCCACACTAACGGAAGCCAACCAACCACACCACACTAAAATCGCCTTCTTGAAAGCAGCTATAAATAACCAATACGCAATTATTGCAATAGGCAGTCATACCACCGGATGTCCGAGTCAGCATGGATGTTCAGTCTGGTTTATATATGAGCATTCTAATCCCCCACCCCCCAACAACAGCAACATACAAGAATATCTAACTGACATATATAACTAAATGCAATGATGATTGAATTCATATATTGCATTTACTTTTCAGAATTTTTTAATATGAACAATACATGGATAAAATGCCGAATGGATCGGAGGTACAAATTGATAATTCTGGACCGATAGAGCAATATTGGTAAGTCTCACACCCATCTTAAAGTCAGTTATATGTTGGTGATAATAATTATATATCCCCTCTTTGATTCTTATTTCTTTGTTAGTATTAACGTCTTTTCTGTTGCTTATTTTCATCAACAGCCCCGTTGAAAAATTGAGCAGCGTTGATGGGGTTAAGGTAGGGATAATAAAAGAGTGGCAGGCATACACTCCATTTTTACTGTTATATTTCTGAGTTCAACCCATGGTGCGTTCATATGCTCAAATTTCCGTTACAGGTCTATTGCGTATGCAGACCGCTCCGGTGGCTTAGTGGTTAGAGCGTCGGCCTCGGATGCAGGAGGTCGAGAGTTCGAACCCTGGCTAACCAAAGACTTATATAATTGGTACAAGCAGCTGCCTCGCTTGGCGCTGAGCATTAAGAGATTAGCGTTGGAACTATTGGTCTGATGTGAGAATATTGTGACTGGGTCGGACATGATGCTACATGTCTGTGACATGATACCCCAATGATATATACATCACTATAAACTGTCACACTGCAGACAGCGTAGCGATATGACTAAAAAAAACAAAACGTTAAAAACTACGTTAAAAATCCAAATCAATCACTATTGCGTATACGTTCTCTTTTTTTGCTTAATTTTCCAAAATTTCGGAAAACAATGAGTCAAACAAAAACCTGATAAGAAAAAAAGTATTGGAACTTTGAAAGAAAGGACGTGGCTGAATGGATGAAATTGCATGAAACGAAGTTATTATTGTGTTTTCATGTGATCCATTTTCTCTTCTTGCACGCTTGTATTTTGAAGGGGAATATATGTGGAATAGTATATCTGGCCCGGATCACCGGTACAAAATTTTCAAAAACTTTGCATAGCCACTTTTGCAAGTAAAATAGGTCGTTACGACCACGATGCTACCTTAAGTGACAAAAATGCACACATTACGTTTTAGGACGTGCATTCGGCAGTGTCTGGTAAAACTTGCATCATGCAAAAACAAAATCAAGGTATATGATATATACATACATGTCACATCTTCTGACATGTACCTTGTTCCTACCGTGGATTTCAAGTATGAAACACACCAATCAAATCCTTGCTTACATAGGCCTTTATCCGATCACTGTGCCTTCACATCGTCGAGCTTCTTGCATACTTTGCTAAATTAAATTATGATTGGTTGATAAACCCAACATTTCTCAAAATCTCTCTAATTTTGATCGCGTATCACGTAATTTAACTGCTCAAATTCAAAATAAAAAATTTCCATTAATCGGCTTTTGAACTGACTTTCCCACCACATCTATAGTACGACACACAGGTCAAGAATGTTCATTCACTGTACTCATCTGAAATTAAATACAAATTGTTATTCTAAAATTTAATATCAGTTCAGATTATTGAATGTTCTGCACTTAACTGTCATCAATAAACATTCAGACGAAAGTTATTGTTGCTATGGATCTTTACAGTGGTGACTCGATATGCTCATTTATTTACTGAGTCAAGAAATGAGCATCTCGGGTCTAATGGCCAGTATCACATGTGTTCTATGCAAGCTTGATGTTGAGGAAAAAAACCCCACAATAATATGAAGGAAACAAAATTATACCGAGTGACAAAATTACCTCAGATTACCCCCATGACCCCTATTGACATATGACCATGTCTGTTATACTCTTAAAGAGACTAGGTAAGTAATAAGCATTACTCTTTGAGCAAATCCTATTTCACCGTTGACGTGTGTACCACATAGTCGGGGTTTTTGAAAAACTAGTGTAACGTGTATTCGATTTGTGTGGATTATAATAATTCTTCTATGGAACAAGATTCCCATTCCTGAATCGAGTTTATGGCAAGTAGGAACATACTTTTGAATTTACAACTGTTCTTTTATTAATGAAGGAACGTATTGCGTGGTCGCAAACTTTATCTCTCGGTAAGATAGAGCTCGTTGCACAGGAGCGTAAGTTTTGTCTCGGCAGGCAAAATTCGCCCAATGCGTACGTTTCCGTTCGTTTCTGTACGGGTCATATGGGCAATTAGGTCTATTAATCACCACTGATCACCCCTGTGATGATATTGATTTTCGGGTTAGGGGCAGATATCACCGATTCATTATAAGCGGTAATTATCCGCTGCCAATTTTGGCGGCACACATCGGTGTACCTTTTATACCCTTGACGTCGGCTGAAGGGTTCTTTCGGTGACATGTACTTTATTTATCAGGAGCAAGTCCTATGCCCTGAGGCCATTTTGAATTTCGGATTAGAATCGGCAGGTACCAATTACCGGAATGTGTAAAGTGTAAGCAGCTTTGTTCCTGAAAGATCTGCAGGTAGAAAAATTACATATTTTAATGAACAGGTGATATCAAACCAACATATCGTCCATCAGTATCATCACAAATTGGGGAGAGGTTGATTTATCTGTCTAATGGGTATTCTGAGGTAATTTTGTCACTCGGTATAACTTTTTTTTTAATGTTAGATTATTGCATTTTTTTTTCAACATCAAGCTCTCGTCGAGCACCGATGGTTAGTACAAATTGGTTGATCAAAATGCGTAGCTTTCATTGGCACATCAAGCGCGCGACATGCGATCCGGATGTTACTGGTTCAAACATTTCATATACTCAAAAAACGTCCACGTACTTTAACATTGATTTTACCTTGTGTACTTCTCGGGGCGTGTGAATAATGACCTTCCGAAGGAAATAAGGATGTAAGAGGTCTAAATAAAGTAAATAAATGCCCTTTCAAGGTATACAGAATGAAATTCGAAGAAATGACACTCATTGCTGAAATAATCTGCGTCTTGTATAACTTTCATTTTAGTTTCACACTTGTATGATGTGTCTGCATGGGAACTTTAAAAATCCGTGTCTAAGAACGAATTCCCAAAAATGATGAAATGAATTATTAAAAAAAAATTATTGTTATTTTCTGTTTAAATTACGTATTATGTTTAAAAATCGCTGTTTTGCATGATTTGGTGAAACATCCCTACACTACCCCTTAACTGCGCCTGGAGAGAAAGATGAACTGCGATATGATATCGATAAAATCGGTTTTTGTCGAGTACAATTTTATCTACACCACATGCAACTATTTTTCTCCTATTATTTTCAACAAACCACTTTAAGTAAAAGTGAATATAATACCGAACATAGTGTTCTGTACATCATTCTGCTTTTAGAATCAACCTTTCTTGTATGATGTCGAGAAAGACGGTCCGATGAGAAAGTACTCTTTTACCTCTGAAAATAAAAAACAGCCCTAAGGTACCCATATCTAATAAACCGAAAAAAGAGGTACCAGTCTAACGTTACTCTTGGTGTGTTTATTTGAAAAAGCTTGTTGTATTCCCAATCGTTAATTATCTGCCGCTTACAACAGGGTTAAATTTATTATGTATAAAAGCGTGGGAACCAACAAAATGAAAATATATTTTGTAATGTTCATTAGACATAGCTGTCACAATAACGTCTTCGGCCATTTTCCTTGGCATGCCAGAAGCTATCCAGTCTTTACCGTTGCATTCCAGAACAGTGTATATTGTATTCTATTTCGTGGGGATTTATTGCTCCCGTTTGACTTACTCCTTGTTTTGACAGATAACATATTTCATATTACGTACGGTTAGGAATATTTCCTTATTCATATCTGTTCATATCTCGGATTAAAAGTGTATATATTTATTGTCATATGGGCCATTCATGAGTTGAAAATGACAGCGTCACATTATAAAAGCATAAACTTACCGGAAATGCTTATATATATATATATATATATATATATATATATATATATATATATATATATATATATATATATATATATATATATATATCACAGTTTTATGCAGAACTACTCATTTACATCAAGTGAATTTTCACCTCAGTCTAAGATAGCATTACTGATTGGGGGATGTGTAGATTAGAGAAGCAAATTCAGTGTCCACACTTTAATCACAATTGCCTCGACAACGGACAAAACTATACTGAAATAATGACAAAGTAAGCAAACTATATTAAAAAGCTTGCTGAAATTCTAAAGTTGTTTTTTGTTTATTTAATATATTTCAAATTCATCCACTGAGGGATTTAGACCAGCCAGGTTTTATTTATCATGCAATATTAGCATTTCTTCGCCTGCATGCAAGTACTGCATGCACGTCAGATAAAATCTTGTCCTCACGTTCCTTATTCCTCATCCTCATAATTCCCTCTCCTACTGTTTATTCTCATTCCTCCTTTTTATTCCTTCACTACTTCCTCCTTTTCATTTCTCCTCTCTTTCCTCCTTTTTATTCCTCCTTTTCCAACGTATTCCCTCTCGCACAATTTATTCCTTACATTGAAGACCTTGGTAAAACGGCGTCATTCTTAACTCGAAAGTTTTGTTTCTGACATACAAGTGTGCATATGATATATAATTTGAGCCTGACATACAAATCGGTGCGGTAAACAAATTGCACATATCACACATAAATGGCACGTATCATACAAATCGGTGCACACGGTATCTAACTTTGTACCTGTCACACACGATATACAACTTGTACTTGGAGTTATTCCGACACGTTAATACTAGAAGTAAATATATTGCGTTTGGCAACTCGTGTCCAAGCTCGACACAGCTCACTTGGCAGTAGTATATGGGGATACCGTCGTGACTATTGGGAAAATACATTACAGATCCACAATATCGAATATAGCGGCAAGATTTATAGCGACAAATGGCACAACCTTGACTATATAGCGACAAAATTTTTAGCGACAAATGGTGAACCCTGGAATAATATAGTGACAAGGGAAATTTTGTATAAGGACAAAAGGAACAGAACATGTTGGAAGACGTCACTTTACTGGATACTTGCAACAATGTGACAAGAGTCTGGTCTATATAAACACAGGTATAAAAGAATCTAGGAAGGGACAAATACAATACGGACTAAAACAAACATATACAAAACAACCTCTAGATTTTATATAAACCTCTAGATGAATATATGTTGAAGGTGTTCATAAATTAGTATATCTACAATCAAGGAAAAGACCAACGCCAAAATGGATAAGACTAAGAGTAACGCAACAATTACGAAAGTGTATCCGAATTTAACGTAGACAAAACACACCCCAAGAAGTCAGATTAAATTGGCTTGGTCTAAAAGTATTACTCGAATTGCAAAAATGTTCCAAACTCTAGTGGAGACTAAGAAAAACTCCGGAAGATTGTATTCAGATTGCAATCACTTAAAATATTGCACTAAATTTCCGAAAAATTTAGCGACCTTGAACTGAAAAGGATAATTAGCCCGATGTTTTGTTTGTTAGAAATGGCAGACACAAGGTGTTGCACTA